CACACACACACACACACACACACACACACACACACACACACAAGCATTGAAATCCTATAGTTAAACTCTACCGGTTCCGGCATAAGTTAACAGTTATTGCCCGCATAAACCAGGCCAAAACGGCCGTAAAACTTGTAAAACTGCGATGACCACGTGCGTGGCAAGGAAACGGCGGGAAATGAAGAATATTATAATTAATAAATCACTTTATTGTTACATACCTGTAACACCCAACAACGCGTTACAAAAAGAAGCAAGAGCGAGCTGGCTCGACTCTTGAACGCACGAAGTTACAGGATTTTTGGTGTGAAGAACGTCGAGTCGCGATTACAGGAATTCGTGACTGACGACTAATTGAGGAGCAGAACGGATTCTGGCGAGTTCTTCGAGTAACCGCTCCGTTCCTGCTTGTCGGCGCGCTTCAGCGCCGCTTTCGCATCTTAACTTTGGGTGCGTTCAGACAACTCAGTTGCACAACGGTTGAGAGATAATCACTTCTGATTGGATCGTACTTTTGGAATCACTTCAGATTTTGAAGAATAGTCCTATCAGTGATGATCTCTCAACCGTTGTCTGAACGCACCCATTTTACCCCATCCAATCTCTTCTGCTAGGTAGGCTCTGTCGAGGTGGTGAGGATATGCCCACAAGCGAGAACGCGTCCGTGAGCTCACACGGTTCTCGTTTGTGGGCATATCCCCACCGCCTCGACAGAACCTATCTAGTAGAGGAGATTGGGTGGAGCGGATGGACGATTCCCCTTGCCCCTCGCGTCTCCAGCACTTTGCAAACTGTACACAATATATTAACATTTAACATTTTTTTTTATTTTGGTAGGATTCGGCATATCTTACAGAAATACATCATATTACTGAGAAGAGCGACAGTAAAGGAACTCTTTATTGCGCTGTACAAAGTGATGAATACGAAGCAAGTACTGTATTGTATAAAAAAATGATTAAAACATTTTGATCCTAGAGAATCTGGATATGCATCAGTTATATATGGTATAAATGATTAAAATCTATTTTTGCCCCCCCCCCCTCTGCAGCTGTGCACGTCAAGTACTAATTATATTTATTATTATAGGTACAACGAAAAATTTACGTACGAAAAGTACTAACAATAATAAAATCAAACAATTTCACAAAAAATTTTACAGACCCGAAAACTTGAGTATAGTGATAATAGGTAAAGTAGATACATGAGAAACTTTTTGATGCTTTACTGCCTTTAGAAAAAAAAATAATGTTGCAGTTATGTATATATGTATATACATATTGTTAAAGAAATTGACGTTTTGCACGTATTATTCTTGTTTTTTCTTTCGAGCATAGTGTGTTTAATAAAAATGTAATACTGTTATAATATGTTTTATCTCACATTTGTAGCCAAAAAAAAGATGGTTTTAAAAAACCATGGAGTAAAGAACTGGAAAATCTTGAAAAGAGTAAAGATGTACAAGTTTCTTTTTCACTCACGCATTTTAATTCCATTACATATAGCACTGTTAGTCATGCAGTGTATGTATAGCTTGGCAAGGACCAACGATTAAAGATATTTACAAATATCGCAGTTGTCTGCTTCTCTTACAATATTTAGTAGAGGATAGCGATATACTAAAAACAAACCTTGATGAAATAAATGTTACTTCCATCACATACAAAATGTATACTTATTCCATCACAATGCTATCTATAATGTTTATAAATACACCAACCAACTATTATTCGAGATTACACTCGAATTTAATTTTTGAAGAATTAATAAGACAACCTCAAACATATTTTTTAGAACTTTTTAAGAAGGGAGGGGGAGAACTTTTTATGTGGGAGGGGGGGGGCGGAGGGAGGGAGGGAATTACTTCGGGATTACACCCGAATTAATATTTGGAGGCCCGATTTAGTTCGCCGATCAAACCGATAAACTCGGTTGAAAGGGACCGGCCCGGAAAAAATCCTCACACCTAGCTGGTGAGCGGATTCGAACTCGGGACCTCCAGATTCGCAGCCCTGCACTCAGGCCGCGAGACCAGTGGGCCGGTCGTGTTTAAGATATATATGTTAACATATATAATATATATATATATATAATATATGTTAACATATATAATATATTATATATTATATCTGTTAACATATACATGTTTAAGATATATATAAATACATCTAAAGTAAAAGTAGTACGATTTCCTATATAGTACTTATAAATTTAAAAACATTGTATAAGAGCTTTGTTTTATATTAGCGACTCAAACGTTTGATGACGACGGTGTGCCCGAAGCGGTAAAACGTCTCATTTTTACTGGCAGCAAGGATCTTCCATATAACAAAATTCTACAAACATTCGCTAAGAAATGTTTAACCATTGACATAACGGCTACTACTTCCAGCGATCGTACAACGTTTAAGCTTAGTACCGCTGTTTAGTACATCGTTTCTTTTGATGATGCCATTATATCTTGATCATATATTTTATCCACTTCTAAGGGTAAAATTTATTTATTTATTTTTTATGTGTTTAAACCGGTAATATTGAACAATGACAAAGGATATTTGTTTTCTGATTGATGTTTAACGTACAAGTTAAAAGAAACTTCTACCATTTGAAATTTTTCCTAGTTTTTTTTATCTAATGTATGAAATTGTTATTTTCTTAATACTTTCGCGTCTTCTAACGTTAGCCTTACGTTATTTCAAACTGTGTAGGTAGGTAAAGACTGGCGAAAACGTGATTTGATATTACTGTAAAATTTATATGTTCATTTGTTTAATAAACATTTATAAGAGTGCGGTCAAAGCCTCGCTGCAAATGTTTTCCCTTACGAAAAAGAATTACTGGCAGTAATATATTGCGGCAGTGGTACGAAAGAATTACTGGCATTCTGTGTAATTGCCAGTAATATTCTCAGCGATTCCTGTAATATCTAATAATATTCTTGCGTGATTGTCAGTAATATTTATATTACTGACTTTATTTATATGTAATCGGCAATAGTTCTTTTTCGTAAGGGTTAAAGCATCGTTCTATCTTTAATTCTCGTTAAATGTAGTGTAAAGCCCCTTGCACAATGGAAGGAATAGCGATAGCGATAGAAATAACACAGTTTTTAACACAGAATTCCAACTCGTCGGAAATTTTATCGCTATTGCTTATTCCGATTTTCTGATCTGCATTGATACACGTGTATTTTTGTATGTTAGATTCCGCTGTTCCTACCTTTATTTTTAAATAAATATAAACTCTTTAAAGCTCCTTGCACAATGAAAGGAATAGCGATAGCGATAGAAATAACAAAAGTTTTAAAGAGTTTATATTTATAAAAATAAAAGTAGGAACAGCGGAATCTAACATACAAAACTACACATGTATCAATGCAGATCAGAAAATCGGAATAAGCAATAGCGAAAATAAAATTTCCGACGAGTTGGAATTCTGTGTTAAAAACTGTGTTATTTCTATCGCTATCGCTATTCCTTCCATTGTGCAAGGGGCTTAAAACTTTTGTTATTTCTATCGCTATCGCTATTCCGTCCATTGTGCAAGAGGCTTAAGATGCGTGCGGCGGCGACACTTGTCGGGACACCACGAGGCAAGAGCAAGGAGATCGAACTCCGTGATATAAACAAAAGTGGCCGGGAAAGGACGAGAGAAGATTAGGTATTCCGTTGTTTTTTGCAAATATATAAGCGAAAAAATGACGGTCAGTTTGCAAGGATTACCGGGAAGAGTACTGAGAATCTTAAAGAGATCGAAAAAATTTGTCGAGAAAATCGATCACTCGTCGAAATTACGCACGAATATCCCCGCGGGGTTGGCATCGGCCGCACCGCCACTTGGATCTCAACTTGGACAGGTTAAGATCACAGGTTAAATAAATAAATGTCAGAAAGATTTAATTTATTACTTTGTTCCGATAATTTTCAATCAAATTACTTTGTCTGATTTTTTAATCAGACGATGACGTTCGGAACCTGTACGAAATATATACCGATCGTCGTAGCGTAAATTTATAATGCTCATGTTGATCTGGTTGTTTTTTTTTCAGAGGAATATCAACATAGCAAATTTTTGTCAAGATTTTAATAAAAGAACGGCAAATATCAAGGAAGGCATTCCTTTGCCGTGTCGCGTCAAAGTTAATTCGGACAGATCGTACGAACTGACGATTCACAAGCCACCGGCGACGTATTACTTGAAACAAGCGGCTGGAATACAAAAGGGAAGACAGAGGAAAGGTAGAGATTTTTGTTTTTAATATTTCACACAAAGTTTATATTAATGTTTAAAACCATCTTGAACATTCAGTTCTTTTACATGATTCCCTGTAATATTTTAACAGTAAGCAGTGTTCACAGTTTTAGCTTCTTTACAGCATGCTAAAGCGGTGGAAGGGATGCGCACAACAGCAGCGAGTTTATGCAGGTAGGATTTGCTGCTGTTGTGCGCATCCCTTCCAACGCTTCAGCATGCTGTAAGGAAGCCAAAACTGTGAACACTGACAGTAAGGCCTGGTTTATGCGGGCAAATAAGGCCTTGTTTTGGCCTTGTTTATGAGGGTAATAACTGTTAATTTATGCCGGAATTGGGGGTACAGTTCAACTATAGGATTTCAATGCTTCTGTTACATTCTGTTACGCTTCTGTTAATAAACAGAAATATTAAAATCTTAGGCCCGCATAAACCAGGCCTAATGCCTGGTTTATCCGGGCAATAACTGTTAACTTATGCCGGAACCGGTAGAGTTTAACTATAGGATTTCAATGCTTCCGTTTATACGCGTTCGGCAATTTTGTATAAACAGAAGCATTGAAATCCTATAGTTGAACTCTACCGGTTCCGGCATAAGTCAACAGTTATTGCCCCGCATAAACCAGGCCTAAGATTTACAAAAGGCGATCCTTCTTTTCGCAGGCGAAGTAGCTGGTAAAATTACCTTGAAACATTTGTACGAAATTGCTAAGATCAAATCAGAGGATCCGCCAATGGCGCTACACGATCTGGAAACGATCTGCAAAATGATGGTCGGCGTCGCTCGCAGCTGTGGTATCGAAGTCGTGCGCGAACTAGATCCAAATGAATATGCGGAGTTCTTAAAAGAGAGAGAAAAATCTCGGGCGCAATTCGAAGAGGAACTTCGATTAGCTAAAGAGAACAAATTGCTCAGAACAAATTAAATTTCTAACAACAGTACTGCAGAAAACTTATAAATCTTTTTTGTAAATTATTGTACATATATATATATATATGAAACTGTGTGTCACACGCGTTATGTTGGTAATATTATTTTTACTCTCTCTTCATACACGTGTAACAAAAAATCCATGATTTTTCTCACGAGATATTTTATTTGCAGAATTAATCGTACAAATGAAGGGGACTTTTTTTTAACTACTGTAAGTTTATTATAAAACAGCGGATTGCGGTTTTTAAATTTTCATTTTGTAGCATTTATTCGACCGGTCCGCAGGATCCTGTGCGAAGCCGGAGGCTCCCAGAGTTCGAATCCGCTCACCGTCTGAGGATTTTTTTCCGGGCCGGTCCCCTTCAACCGATTTATCGAACTAAATCGGGCATCCAAAAATTAGTTTCGGATCTAATCCCGAAATTAACCGGTCTGGACGTGTCGGGTCCGCGAGTAGGTTCTCGAATCCTTATCTTCGGATTTTTCTGGCCGGGTCCTTTCAGTCGAGAATGCCCCGCTTTCCAGGGCGAAGCTTCCTGCGGAAGTGAACGGGGGAGCCAACTTATCGACTTTCGCAGTCCCACCCCCGCTCCAAACATATCTATCTATCTATAATATTCAAGAGGTAGATTTAAAAAATGATAACAAAAACCACAACACTATATACAAAATATCTTTCTCTCTCTCTCTCAAAGTCACTTAAGTATAAAAATACGTACTCTTTGTGCACAAGAATTGTTTTTACAAAAAGAGTTCTTTCACATGAATCAAAGCTCCATCAATTTTTATTTTATTAATGTATTTAATTAACGGCCTAAAAAAGCTATTTATTAAAATAGATAGAAATCTTTTGTCCACAAAGAATCGACCGAATTCTTCAGATTGAAGTTAATCAAGCCCAGATACACGTAGTACAGTGACAGGTTGAAGAGCGCCCAGCGTTCCGCCAACGATACTCCGCATCTGTCCCACGTACTGGAGCATTTGCGCAGTTTTTCGCTATACACGGAACGTACGCAGCATTTGGACATCTCTATCATGGATGACATTCTGAACTGGGTGCGCAACGAGTACTCGATACCGCGCATCAGATCGTTAGTCTTGAGGATCAGCAACATCTGCCGATTGACGCGATCCAGCACGGTGCTGATTTGCGGCAACAAGTCTGGAATGTTCTGCTGAAACTCCTGCTTTTCCCGATTGTCGTAGCGAGTTTTACGCACGCCGGATATAATCTTGTCCCAGGTTCTTCCCGACACCATGCACGCTAACAAACCGTAGTAATCGGCGACGCCCAATCGCGCGCATTGCTCTTTCATAGCCTCTCGGTCGCCGTCGAGAATCGCCAACCACAGCTTCGAGTAGTCCCAGCGAAACTGATCGGACAGATCGGCGTACAAACCGTGATCGAGCAGCACGATCTCCGCCTGGGAATTGCGATTGCGCACCAGAATGTTGCCGGGATGAGGATCGGAATGTACAAAACCCTCGATGAAGATCATGTGACTGTACAATCGGCCAAGCTTGCTCGTAACCTCATACGGATTCAGTCGGTGAACACGCATGTACTCGAGATCGTTCACTTGACCACCTTCCAGAAACTCCATCGTCAGTACGCGCGACGACGACATATCCCAGTATATCGCCGGAACCCTTAACCAGTCGTAATTTTCGAAGAGTTTCCGCACCTTATCCGCATTTCTACCTTCGTGAATGAAGTTCAGTTCTTCCGGGATGTTTTTCTTCGTTTCTTCAACCAGCCAATTGAATTTGAAATCCGGAAATACGAGCGATGTAATTTTCACTAACGCAGCCATGGTTTTGATATCAACATAGGAATTACTTTTAACACTGCGATGCTGAACCTTAACCGCCACCACGTCGCCGTTCTTTAACACGGCTCTGTGCACTTGTGCAAGACTGGCGGTTCCAATGGGTTCCGGATCGATGATCTGGAACATCTCGTAAGGATCTCTTCTGAAATCTTCGCGGATCACTGTGAGCACGTCTTTAAACGAAGACTGAGGCGCCTTGCTGTGCAATATACGCATGGTATGCACGTATTCCTTGGGCAACAAGTAGTCTAATGCACCTATATGCTGACCCACCTTGATGTAAACTCCCTTGTTGGCGCAACAAAGCTCTAGCAGCTTCTGCGCTCCGTATTTGTGAACGTTTGATTTCAAATCCAGATATTCGGCTGATGTTCTGTCCAACTTGCTGTTGTACAATTCATTATTGTAATAACGACCTATATCAAGTACCGTGATCGCGGCTCTGCCAAGTCGTACAATCCCAATAGCCGCAACGTCATATTCATTCGCTCTGAGAGATGCCAAAGTGCCCAATCCGATTGTTCCAACCGCAATAGTTTTGATCAGTCTTTTCACATTAAACTTAAACATTGCCATTCGATTGGCATCTGCAAACAAGAAATCTCGATTAAGATCACAATTTTGTGATGAAGATATGTCACAATTCAGTTCATTTTAATTAAAAACAGTATGACAAAAATTGTATATGACGTAAAAAAAAATACTAATATTACATAAGATGTGTATATATATATAAATTATGCAAAATCATATCAATAATATACTAACCAACAAATAGCGCAACAAAATAACAAGATCAACCGATATGAAATCGTTGTTAAATCGAGTGATTTAATGCTTGCGACAAATAAAATCAACATATCTCTTCATGGGAGGTTAGATGGAGGCTAACCTTATGACTTGATCTACAATTCCTTCTTGAGGTTAGAGAGATTCATTGTATCGCTTCTGTCAATGATGTCACAATTTGTTTTGCACAATATTTTCTGTGTACAAATATTTTTTATCAACGTTAAGTGGAGTTACGCCAATGCTGGCCTGGAATCAACCATGTGGACAAACTGGGTTAAGAAAGGAACGTATCAATGGGAAGAATCGCACAGATAACCTGTAGATAACCTATAGATAACCTATAATCTACACCGGTAAACGCGTTGAATTTTTGAAGCAACATGTAGGGTATGCGCGGCGCGCATACACTTTTCAGGAGATGAGTCATTAGAGCTACCATCAGATCAAGAGACAAAAATAGATTGCAAGTAAAAAATTCTGTTTCAGATATTTATTACTGTACACATATATATATATAAAACAATCGTATTATTATATTAATATATATATATATGTATATATATACATCATACGCTATTTTTATAAAATATAATTACACACAAATATAGAAAATACATATTTTGAGGTGTATCACTTGTATTTTATACATTACGTATATAAATTATTAAGATAGATTTGTGTAGAGAGGCGTCCTCTGGCTCGCAACGGAAATTATTTCAAATTAAAAACTAAGAATAGAACAATTTCGAACCGATCGCATGATGTTGTACAGTAATTGTTCAACAAATTAATTATTCTAGACGTTTCGATATTTTATTATATTGATTTAAGTCTTCACCAGAGTGGAAATTATTATTATCGGAATACGTTTTGATGAATGCAACGACGTGGTGCGATGTTCACTTCGTTGATGGAAAATTGTATATAAATTATTACACGAAATGTGAGTCTTAGTCACGATATAATGACATGCCACACAGACGTTGCAATTGTTAACTCGTCGAATTAATATTTGAGGATTGTTTCTCCCGCGGCTTGTTCTATCAACATTTTCTGAGAAAACAACAAAACAAAAATCATACAATATAATCGGTGTCTACAAGAGAAATGAATATGTGCGATATTTATAGTTTTTTTTTCAATATGCTCGATCCAAAAATTTATCTTTTTTTTTTTTTTTTAAATTTCGTTCGTTCAAATTTATTTACCTTAATTTGTGGAACAGCGTTTGTCAATTGCAGACCCAGACTTCTGGCTAAAACAACGGGAGCCGCCGTGCCCTTGTAAAGACGATGAAGCGCGTCGATGACAAGCATTGTCGGCACATTGTGACGCTGTCTCTGTGTCTGATACTTGCGCAAGTACTCCGTATTGTTCAGCAGACAACCGTTCGACGCAGCCTCGGCAAGAATTTGCGTCAACGCTGCGACATCGCCGAATCCTAGATTCACACCCTGACCGGCCAAGGGATGAACTCGATGCGCCGCATCTCTTTAAAATATAATTAAAAAAAAAAAAACAAACAACATCAATGTATTTGATTAATAAAATAAAAGCAACGTGTAATGTAAAAAAAATAAATTAAACACACACAAATGGGTCTTACCCGACCAATACCATGCTCGGCTGGACGTAAGATGCGGCGTGGCCGAAGCCCAGAGGGAACGCCGCGCGTGAGTTTTCAACGATTGTCGCCACAGAAGGCTGCAATTGTCTGGATAATCCGGTTTGCAGAGACAGTCCCGCGAGCAACTGGCGAAGCGCCTGCATGCCGCTCTCGACAATGCCGTTTTTTGAATAAACCTGCCACAACGCCTCGTTTATCTTGTCAACGAACTCCTCTTCCGACAATTTCAGCAGTTCCTTCGCCTTCTCGCTCGAGACGGACCACACAAGCGAGCTGAGGGAATCCGTCAACTGTTTTTCGGAAATCATCGCGTTATCATTTAATATAATCGAGTATTTTTTTTTACAGTTTTCTTTTTTTTTTTTGTTTCAGATATTTTTGTGTCTATTTTGTTGCTCGGAATGTGACAAATTACCGGAAGTAATGCAATAGGTCCGGTTGGGAGGAATCTCTGCCAGGCGACGACATTTTCCGTTGGCTGAAATCAATTGAGAAACAATGACGTTTTATTGTAATTTTTAATAAATTCGTGTTTTAGCGCAAAAGTTCGTTGCAAAAGTTTTGTTTTTTTTTTTTTTTTCAAGAATTACCTCGGACAATTTGAGAGTCGCGACGATACCCAATTGATCGTATTGCCATTTTAGGTAGGTCACACCCATTGCCTTTCGCACCAGTGAATTGGCACCGTCGGCGCCAACCTATAACAAACACAAATCAATTTTCTTTTAATCCGTCGTCCAATCTAATCTAATTTGAGATTAAAAATACAATGTACTTTAAAATATCATAAATCTCATCTCTCTCTTAAATGAGAGAAACATCAGATTCTTCAAAGAAGATTAAACGCAAGCAATACATTGTGTGTGAGAAACGAACGCTATGATTTCTTAGCGTGCACGAAAATAGCATCGTTTGGTTCCAGATTTAAGCGAGATTGTCGGAGACGAGTCACTGTGCAAATAGCTATTTTATTTTATTATATAAGAAGTTTTGCAACACAACGCGCCGCAAAATATCCAAATCCCCTACTCTCTCGTGTTTACTTTCTCAATGCGTTTTAACACAGTATTTTTGCTCTCCGCCCGAGCGTATATATTTGAGAGTTTAATTTTTGCCTCGCGCCCACATTTACTCGTCTCTCTAACTAAATAATATAATAACAAACTTGACTCAAACCTCTTCCAAGGTGTGTGAATCGTTTCTCTGTAAGTCTCTCTTTAAAAAAAGTTTATTGTCTTTGCGCCGACAGTTTTCGATAGGATTTTTGACACTTCCTTTTTTTTCTTTACTTAAGTAAATTTTGTAACTACATAAGTTTTGCAATTTTTTTATTGTTGAAACTTTGATTAGAATCTAACGTGCTTCGATTGCGCATCGCGTGTGTCACTTTGTTTAACATTTTTCTTTAAATTCTTATCTTTTTTTTTTCCCCTTCCCTTTGCAAATTCCAGAGAACAGAAACGGCAAAAGCCGCGTCATCAAAAGATTTGTATTTTTCCATGACTCTTAATTACAACTCACAAGTGACATAACGGTAAAAAAAAAAAGAAAAGCAAAATGCGTAACTATTTCGACGAAGGACGCGGCTATATAATCGCGTTCGGACGCGCCGACCGAATTCCGCTGATCGCGATCGCGAGCATGAATGAGAAGAAGACCGAGCCAGAAGAAGGACGGAGAGATATGATAAAACCGATCGGATCCGGCAGGAGTTCGTCGCCGGAATCGGAGAATTTCGTGATGCAAGAATTTGCGGTCGAGGGATTTTCTTCTTTTCCTTTTTGTTTTTTTTTTTCTTCTTTCGCCACCGGAACACGCCGGTCTCTCGGAGCGAGAGAGAGAAACGAGCATGGGCATTTAATGGTGGGCTAAATATATAACGTAGTTTTATAAACACATGCAAGTATCTCAGCGGGTACACCCAGAGAACCCAGAATAGTCGCCTAAGCGTTCGGTATATTAGGCGTTACAAGAGAGAGAGAGCGGAAGATGAGCGCGTGTGCGGAAGTGCCACATGAATGGTGAATTATAAAATTCGAACCTTGCGAGAAAATTGCGACGACGATCGAACAAAAAAAATGTTCACGCCGGTCATCCGCGCGTCGTCGTAGACGACGAAGATCGCGTGCCCAAATTTCTTTTAACGAGATTTTTGATTTAATCCACTTGTGTGCGCGAAATCTCATTTGTGAAGAGTTTTTTTTTTAAAATAATGAATGAATTTTAAAATAATGAATGAATGAGTTTTTTTTTTATTGTCAGTGTTGCGTTGCACACATACTCGTGCGAAACCTCGAAAATGAATCAGTTGGAACGAGCCTTTTGTCTTTATGCGTTTTAATTAATCGCGTCTTTCGTAGCGTTTTTAATTTGTTTAATAATCCAGCGTTGTGTGGAAAAAAAACGAAACGACATTTTTTCCATGTCGATTCTCAATAAGAAGTTTTTCAAGAAACTCTCGGGCGGTCGTTTGACGCATCGGGAAGCGTCGAAGATGGAGACCCCCGTCAACAACAACGGGACAGCGTCCGTCATAATCAACAACCAGGTGATTAAAAAAAGAAATTTAAATTTCTTCACAATTTATATATATATATCGACACGCGATCGTCGTCTCTTTGTTAAAAACGTTATATTTTTCTCTATGAAAGTTTTTTTTTTTTTTTTCTCGTATCAGAAGGAGCGCGAGGACATTTGGATGAACGAGATCGACAACGACGGTAGCATATCTTCCGAGGACAGTTCGGATTCCGTTTATTGCCACATACGATCGGCACCGATGACGCAGGAACAACCCTGGGGCAAGGACGAGGTCGAGATCGCGCTGTCCAATCTACCGGGTGGCGAAACCGCTTTGTCTCTGATCTCCGCTCTTCAGGGCGGCGCTTTGCAAACAGCTCTGGAGGAATTTCACTGTTTAACTCTCAACACGGGCTGCGGGCATCGCAAACTCTCGTTGCCCACATTCGCAAACGGGTAGATACGAAAGAAATTACAGCCTGCGACTACGGTTTTTTAACCGCGAAGCAAAATAAACAGACGCATATTTTTTTTTTTATATACGACAGAATTTAATTTGAAATTATTTGTGCAGATTCATGCGAAAAGCTTTGTTGGACAGTGAAAACGGAGCAGCGGCCGCCGCGACTCCGGGCCAGTTGCTTGCGGGTTGGCCGGACACGTGTCTGTTGATTTCCAGCTGGTTGGGTCGCGTAGAAATCGCGAAGGCTTTGTTGGACAAAGGAGCGCCGGTCTCAACGACCGATTGCGATGGAAGGTATATATATATATATATATATATACACGTAAAATTTCAAGAAAGAAAAACATCAATTATGTAGCTTTCGAAAAACAATTTGTACTTTACGTGCCGCTTCATTCTCAGAACGGCGTTACATCTGGCAGCTTGCGCCGCGTCCGTGAGAATTGTGGAGGAACTACTGAAGCACGGCGCTGATCCGTGCAAGTGGGACTTCGAGAAGAAGTGCACCCCGCTGCACTGCGCCGCCGCAGCAAGTTGCGTTGTCACCATCAAGTGTCTGATCAAATCAGGCGCGGATATAAATGCCGGATTGACCGGTAGAAGTCCGCTTCACTACGCCGTGCTGAACAACGCCGCGGATTGTGTCGAGGCTCTACTGCAAGCAGGTGCTTGTCCCAATAATCCACAGGTGCACGACCTTTATGGACGATACAATTCAGGCATGAATTTGGTGAGAAAGTGATGTGACGTTCGCAAACAGAGGACGTCAACGTGAACACGATCATTGAACGTCGTGTAAAAGCAGGAATAATTAAATCAAATTGACAAAACAACCGATTGCTTTCCCACTGAAGACGATGCGTCTCTCTCTGTCTCTCTCTCTTTGCTAAACTTTGTTTTCGACGAGTTAACAGGATTTGTTGCGATATATAGGTTTACACAGAGACACCGCTTCATGTGGCAGCTAGTCTAGGCAACGTCCATTGCACCAAATTGCTACTTAGTTACGGAGCGGACGTGAGGGTACAGTTGGGCACCGCGAGATCAACGCCTCTGCATCTCGCGGCGGAGGAAGGTAGCGCGGAGTGCGCCAGATTGTTGGTGAACGCTGGCGCGGCTTGCGAAGCGAAGAACTCGCGTGGTCAAACGCCAATGCACATGGCAACACTCGCCCAATCTGTGGAAACAATAGACGTGTTGATAAAAGCCGGTGCGGAAGTAAACGCGGCGGATAACGACGGACGCACCCCTTTGCACGCCGCGGTCGCAAAAGCTCTGAGATGCAACGAGCTCGTCAGAACTTTAATACAGGTTTGTAAATTGTCGGAACAAACACGCTCTGCGAAATTTTTATCAATTAAGAAAAACTATAAAAAGATAATGACAATTTTAACACTTTTTTTAGTTTCATTCAATTACGTTAAACATAACATATTTTTGCAATAAAAAATCTGAGCAGCTAATAAAATTCTCGTTTTGTTTAAAAGGCAGGTGCCGCAGTCAATAAGGCGGACAAGTTTGGTTACACGCCGTTGCACATCGCGGCCTTGAATGAGAGCTCGCCGACGGTGGTGATACTGATGTCAAAGGGTGCCGATATTACCGCGCGCACTAAAGGCGGCATCACCGCCTTGAGTTTCATCATACGCCGCACACCGGACGTCTTGTCGCGCTTCGTAACACGTCTCGATCAGGCAATCTCGCTGCACGATCACGAGTTGGGCGACGTGGACTGCGAACTACGACTGGACTTCCGACCGTTAGTTCCGGGTGGTCGCGGCGAAATGGATCTGATGCTCTGTTTGGTGGAAGGCGGTCAAGGCCATGTACTGAAACATCCGCTCTTAGAGAGTTTTCTTTACCTCAAATGGCTTCGTATACGCAAATTTTTTCTGCTGAGTTTGTTCTATCACTCAATATTCGTCGCTATATTCAGCAGTTACATCGGCGCGACGTATAGATGGCAGATAAAGCAGCTTAGCAACACTCTTGTATGGCCAGTGTTCTGCTGCACTTGCGTAATGGCGTGTAAGGAACTATTCCAGCTCGCTCACGGTATCTATAGCTACGCCAAACGTTGGGAGAACTGGCTGCAGTGGAGCGTGATTTTGACGTCTGGCATCAGCTTAATTCCGTTGTCGGTTCAAACGACTTGGCAGCATCACGTAGCCGCACTGGGCATCCTCTTAGCTTGGGTCGAGCTTATGATGGTGGTCGGTCGCTTCCCCATGTTCGGCATCTACATACAAATGTTCACTCAAGTGTCGATTAATTTCTTCAAATTTCTCGCAGCTTACGTCTGTCTCATAGTTGGTTTTTCCTTTGGATTCAGTGTGCTGCACAAAAATTACAAATCCTTTGAAAATCCGTTAGTCGCTCTAATCAAGACGGTGATCATGATGTCGGGCGAGTTAGAATTCGAGGATGTTTTTTTTGACAAGAGCGAGAAGTTGATGTATCCCGGCACGGCGCATCTCATGCTCCTCAGTTTCGTCATCTTGGTTACGGTAATTCTCACGAATCTGATGGTAGGTCTCGCCGTGTCGGATATCCAGGAGTTGCGCAGATGCGCCGGGCTTGACCGACTTGTGCGTCGCGCCGAGTTGGTGGCTCATCTCGAAAACCTGTTGTTCTCCAAGCTTTTGGATCGTATTCACACGGTCAGAAGGATCGTGAAAGCGTGCAGAAAAGGTGCGCTACTGTTGCATCCGCCGTATCACTGCGCGTTACACATCCGACCAAATGATCCGCGCGAGAAGCGTCTGCCGCGCGAGCTCGTTAAAGCAATATACCGACTGGTTAGCGAGAGGAAAACTCGTCGCGCGACCTTCCGAACGACCGCGCCACCACCGCGAAATCTGGCGAACGAATCGACTCACGCAAGACTCAGTAGAATGTACAGCAACGACAGCAATCAGCAGCAGCTGAACGAACTGGCGGCCGAGTTGAAAAGATGTTCGTACAACATCAGCGCGAAACTCGACAGTTTGACCGACAAAATAGAAAGTATCACCAGAGATGTGGATACGACGACGCATTTGCGTTAAGTTTTTTCATGCCTAGGGTAATTTCTCTTTTGTATCTCGTACTTACCAGCAACCTAGTCCTGTAACATTTCCCAGATTGCAGCTGAACACTGACAAGTTCCATTGACTCCGACACCGGGGGTGGTTTTATATCGGTGATTTTGGATTCGTAAATCACAGTTACACTTTCTTTCTGAGAGAGCTGCTTGTTGACCGCATGTAACAGCAGATTATTCTCAACCACGTATGCCAATTCTTCACACAAATAATCCTCATTGAATGTTATCATGGCATCCGAACAAGCGTCCCATACCTACCGATAAGACTACATAATTTTTAGGCTTATATAAAATTGTACTTTTTAGGCTTTATATAAAAAATTTTTAAATTTTGTAACGTGTAAAAGAAAAACAATAAAAGTTATTAAAAAAGAAAGCACACAACCAATGGTCTTTGTATTCAAGTATTGAAACGATTTAAATTATCGTAGTGGTAATAACAATGTGTGTTTAACAATCTTGTTAATTTGAAAATTCTAAATTTGAAATATTAAAAAAAAAACAAAAACAACACAGAGAACAACCTGCAGTTTCTTTATGGGACAATAGCGCACTGCTTCTATGTGTTTCCATGCTCCTATGCTAGACAACAAGGTGCGAGTTTGCTGATTCAGGGCAACAACTCGATTAGAATATTGTTCCTGTGGCACGTATTCTTGTTTAGCACTACCCTCCAGGAGCAAGATCCTTTTACCTTCCAGTATTCGGTTATTTGCTGAAATAAATTTATTTCACAAGTTCAAAAAACATAACGTTGGGGGAAAACAAATTTGTTTTCTGACAAACAAATATGTACATGACGTTTTTTTTTATTTCACCAAGCTATGTTTTGTTTTGATGATAAAAATAAAAATACCTAACCTATAGCGCACGCCAACGTCGTGCCGACCATTCCACCTCCGGCTATGATCACATCGTAATTTTCCACATTCTCCGCAGCGGTCGAATAGTTCTTCGACAACGCGCTCGCGCTCGGAATGACATACTTGCAGTTTTGCGACAGTAACGTAAAAATCGAGCGCGTAGACAATGCCGCTCTCCTGAGGGTCGCCATTTTTCTTCTGTGTTTTTTGTTAAACCAGAGAAAAGTCTGAGAGCGGCCAGGTACATAAGATAATGTGTAATCACTTTTCCGCCCCGTAAACTAGCGCACGTCCACGGATGGTACAGATTGGAACTACGCAGCCACTCCACGAGCGACATGTCGGTACGCTATGTCCACAGCGTGCGGTTCTATTCCGTGCTATGTGCACGAGTTTAAATGGTCACTTTCTTTAAGTGTGTGAGTATATTCGAGAGCGTGAATTTGATTTATTTCAAAAATTAAAATAGCCGATTTGTGAACTCAGGAAGGAGAACAGGAAGGAATGGAAAATATACAAATTTGCAACTTCCCACACAACATACACGTAATTGTCAACAAAGCTGCTTCAACAAACTTAATATTTTTAAGCGAGCAGCATCAGAATTCGTAGAGTGTACTCAGGTACCATCTCCTTTATCATCATTTGCTGCTATTTGCTTTTATTTTTTTACAAACGCTACATATGTACATACGTATAGTTACATTACAAAATAAAAAGAAACAAAATAAGCACA